CTGTGAACACTGCCAGGGTTGGGGCAGCCACAGCCTCCCTGGGCAACCTGGGCCAGTGTCTCACCACCCTCACAGGGAAATCTTCTTCCTAATATCTAACCTAAATTTCCCCTCCTTCAATTTGTCCCCATTGCCCCTTGTCCTGTCCCTGCAGCTCCTAACACAGAGTCCCTCTGCAGCTTCCCTGGAGCCCCTTCAGCTCCTGGAAGGTGCTCTGAGGTCTCCACACAACCTTCTCTTCTCCAGGCTCAACAGCCCCAACTCCCTCAGCCTGTCAGGATGACTCACACAGCTAAAACTCTCTCTGTGTGTGTGTATAGAGATGAAGATTATCTCCATGTACACCACTGAATATTCCATAGCTGTGGTTTGCTGCTGCCTTCATGCAGATGTCTCTAGAAAACTGGTTTCCCTCCAAATTTGCAGCTGTCCCTTGACAGAAAATAAGTTGAGGCTCAAACCATTATTTTTAATCACTTTTCAAACCATCATAAATGATGTGAGAAATAATCAGACAGCTAGAAAAATAAATCAATACTGTGAAATACTAGTGAGTAATGAAATTCTCAAAGTCTCCTATACAGGATATATAAATTGTAACAGTAGACTGGAATTTTCTGCCTCTCAATGCATTGGCTTTTTGTACTAGGCAGCTGAGTCAGATTGTTTAAGCTGACAAATCAATGGCTGTGAAAGCAGTGAACCTGAAATCTGTTCTCCCTTACAGGTTTTGTTGTAGCAGTTATAACTTCTCTGTGTATATAACCTAATAAAAATGACTGTTAAGACTGTGAGGAAACTCTTCATTTAAGTATTAACTGCTGGGACCTATTAGTTGGTCATTTGGGGGTTGGGACTAGATGACTTAGAAGGTCCATTCCAATCTCTGAAATTCTACGATTCATTTGTTTGGGGGTTTTGTTTGTTTGTTTGGTGTTTTGTTGTTGGGGGATTTTGTGTTTTGTTTGGTTTTTTTTTCACCAGTCAAATATCCTTATACTGCAATGATGAGGTTTTGGTTACTCAGAGGTGACCTCCTGGCTCTCTGCAACTCCCTGCCAGGGCTGGAGAGAGGTGGGGGATGTGTGTCCTGCCATGGCTGCAGGGAGAGGACTAGAGGGAATGGCCTTGAGCTGAGCCAGGGCAGAGTCAGATTGGATGTGAGGAGAAATGTTTTCCCTGTGAGGGTGTTGAGGCACTGGGATATTGCCCAGGGAGGTGGTGGAGTCACCATCCCTGGAAGTGTTGAAGAGGTGTCTGGATCTGGCACTGGAGGATCTGGTTTAGGGTTTGGGGTTCCAGCAGTGACAGGTTAATGGTTGGACTTGATAATCTTAGAGGTCTCCTCCAACCTTGATGAGTCTGTGGTTCCACAAATACCAGCAGACAAAGGGGTGTCTGTCAGTGCCAGACTCCCTGCCCTTTTTTATTCCCATCAGCTGTGGAACAGTGAAGTGAGGTGGGAGAAGAGGCACAGGGAAGAGAATAATATGCCATAAAACTAGTACCATTAACACTATGCCTTTTTACATCCAAAAATTTTTAGTTTCCAGGCTTAACCATTAAAGGTATTAAATAAAACTCCTGAAAATCAGTGCAGAGAACAGAAACAAAGCAGTTACTTTGAGATGTACTTTCCTCTCCACATCTCCACCTGTTCTCAGGGATATAGATGTGACTGGTAAAACAAATAGTAAAAGTGTAAAGTCCTAATGTCTATTATTAAAAACTATGAACAAAAATTAACACAGTGCCAAAAAACACTGATCACAAAGTTCCTTGAGGCCTAAAGGATTTTGTGCTAGGGGAGTACAACAGGTTCAAAGCTTTGCCCTCTATGTTTCAAAATTGCCAAGGACTATTAATAATTGAGTCTTTGCTTAATGGTCTCACATGATGTCATTGCTGTTGCACTTGGGAATTCCTCTCATCATTTCATAGAGCTGTCTTTAATCTCTTACCTGTAATAAAAGTCAGGCAGTGATTGATTCTGCAACTAATAAAGCTGTGTAACCATGTGCTGCTTTCAGTAATTGGATGCAGAGTAACAGCTGCATCAATAATGTTTTCTGCCCTGCACTATAGTCAGTTCTCCCATGAGCTTCACTTCCTTCAGACACCATAGCTCAAGCTCAAATAAGATCTTGTTTAATGTATAATAAATAGAATTAAAGAATTTTAAGGGTTAGAATGGACCTCAGAGATCATCCAGTCCCAACCCCTGCCCTGGGCAGGGACACCTCCCACCAGAGCAGGTTGCTCAAGACTTCATCCACCCTGGCTCTGAACACTGCCAGGGTTGGGGCAGCCACAGCCTCCCTGGGCAACCTGGGACAGTGTCTCACCACCCTCACAGGGAAAACTTCTGCCTAATATCTAACCTAAATTCCCCCTCTTTCAATTTGTCCCCATTGCCCCTTGTCCTGTCCTTGTAGCTCCTAACAGAGCATTTTGCTTAACTGGCAGGTTTTGGCCAATTCTTTGCTTATCTGGAATTCCTATCTGAATTATTGCCTGCTCAAGAGATCTTGTTTCTTAAAACTATGTGGTAGTGTGTATTGTAGCTATGACTCTCTCCCCACAGCCAAACTTGTGTCTACAACCATGATGTGCTTTATGACCCACATGCTGGGAAGGGCAGCCTGGATCATTGTACAGAATCACAGAATGACAGAACTTTAGAGGTTGGAATGGATCTTAGAGATCATCCAGTCCCAGCTCTTTGCCCTGGGCAGGGACACCTCCTACTTCTGCCTAAGATCTAACCTAAATTTCCCTTCCTTCAATTTGTGCCCATTGCCCCTTGTCCTGTCCCTGCAGCTCCCTAACACAGAGTCCCTCTGCAGCTTCCCTGGAGCCCCTTCAGCTCCTGGAAGGTGCTCTGAGGTCTCCACACAACCTTCTCTTCTCCAGGCTCAACAGCCCCAACTCCCTCAGCCTGTCCTCACAGGGGAGATGCTCCAGTGCTCTTAGCAACTTGGTGGCCTCCCCTGGACTTGCTCCAACAGTTCCATGTCCTTCTTACATGGAGGGCACCAGAACTGTGTGCAGTATTCCAGGTAGGTCTCACCAAAACAGACGGGAAGAATCACCTCCCTTGACCTGCTGTCACACTCCTTTGGGTGCAGCCCAGGCCTGGATTGGTTTCTGGGCTGAGCTCACACTGCAGCTCATGGGGAATTTCTCATCCACCATCACCTCCAAGTCTCTCTCCTCGATGCTGTTCTCAATTCCTTCCCCACCCAATATGTGGTGCATGAAAGCAGTTCTTTTAACTTGAAACACACTCACTGAGGACAAAGACTGCACATTTTTCTCATAGTGTTATCTTCTTGACACCAGAGAGAGAGATGACAATGGACGCACAGAACATTTCCTTTTGTTAAGAGCAGAGATGAGGCAGAAAATCCGTTTTTTAGGATTCTATTATACCTCTGTCACTTGGTATAAAATGGGAAGGCACTGAATTCTGGACAGACACTTGAGAAAACACCACCATTAACGTGTGTTTCTGTGTAGTCCTTCTGAGTGTGGGAACTCCATCACTGCAACCTCAATGATTCTAGGAGTGAAAAGGGCAAATTACTAAACCAAAGCAAAAATCCTGGGCCCTCTGCAGTGTAGATGCAGCACCCCAAACAGCTAAAGTCTAAGTCTTGCAAGGAGAAGAAGTGAAATGCTCTAAAAACCAACCCTAAAGTTAGAAAAACCACAGAGCTTGGTAAAAATGCCCATGCGCCTTTTATTAATAAAAACTAACAGTGCCAAGGTTAAACAAGTCAAACAATTATAGTCTCTTTTTTATATTCCATAAAATATTACAGAAAAGTTCATTTGTGTTTCAATAAAAAGACCTCCTGTCTCAGAATAGGCAGCTGACAGTACTTGTGCAGTTAATTGTTGGTGAACAGATCTAAAAAGACTAACCACCTGCCCTGAAATTCCTCTTATAAAAACGAACTATTTAAAAAGGATTGACAAATTTTTTTTTTGAGTTAAAAAACTTAAAACATTCTCTATATTTTAATTTCAACTTTATAATAGATTACAGGAAGATGCTTAAGAAACAAATACAAACATTTGTTTCGGTACATGTCTTTATATGATAGACTTATAAGTATGTAAACAACTATATAATAAAAAGTTTCCAAAACTGCCTGTAAGAAATCAGGCAAATTTTACCATAAACAATAAATCATTCCAAACCTTCAAGACATTTTTATATAGCTGCACCAACTGGCAGTAAACATTTGCCAAGAAACTTTGTAATTCGTATGTCCCAACATACAGTGAAGAAACAAAAAAACCCAAAAAAAGTCTCTGAACTTGATGAAATCATAATGTTAAGTTATAATTTAAGGGAAAAGAAGTTCAGAACAACATTCCTGGAATTTAACATGTTAAAAAAGAAAAAAAAAGGAAAAAGTAGGACGTATCTTTCTTGTTTGGTTTTTTGGACACTGCATGATGAACAAAAACCACTACTACATTAGCTCAGTATCCCTCAAAAAACAGTGGCATCATCAAAATCAACTCCAAAGAAACTGCCATTCAGTGTATTCATTTTCCACAGAAGGATGGTATTTTATTTCTCAATGAGGTGTCTACATTTTCTTTAGCAAACTTTGCAAGAACATTTGGGGCAAAATTCAGTTTCCTTCAAGTAAAAAAAAAAAAAAAAAAAAAAAAAAATAAAAACCAAAAACCAACCAAAAAACCAAAAAAAACCCCCTAAAACAAGAGTAAATAAAGGCTCTGCATTAACACACTGGTATCAAAAACACACATCCACACCACATTTAAAAATATCCTACAGAAAACAATTCTCGCTTGCTTATCAGAGGTGCAATTTCTACACTCAGAACTGCTGACCAATATTCCCCTGGGGGGATGGGGCAAAGGAATTTGAGACACTTCTCCCTAGAACAATTTATTCCTGAAGCCTGCTGAATTTTAACCAAGAAATAGTCTACAAGCAAAGGGCATCAGTCGTCGTCATCATTTTCATTGAAGTCGTCATCGTCATAATCGTCGTCCCCAACGTAAGACACTGGTGTTTCCACTCTGGAACCACTGTACTGGGAGCCATTGGAACTCGTAGCCAACATCCCATCTCCACCATTGGAAAAGTCACTGGGAAAAAAACCCAACAACAAAACATTGTTGACATTGCTTAATGGTTTCTCAAAGTTCATAGAATTATAGGGGTTGGAATGGATCTTACAGATCATCCAGCCCCAACCCCCTGCCCTGGGCAGGGACACCTCCCACCACAGCAGGTTGCTCAAGGCTTCATCCAACCTGGCCTTGAACACTGCCAGTTCACTGTGATCTTAAATATAACCATGTATCTAAGCCCATTCCTTCAATGAATCTGCCACTGCCACCCTAGGAACTGTCTTAAACATATGTCCAAGTTGCCTCTGAAAAGCAGAAATGGTTTCAACTAATTTGGAGATGGTTCTAATGATGTTCCCACCTTTAGGTTTAATATAATCACAGAAGTTCATAGAATCACAGAATTTTAGGGGTTGGAATGGACCTTACAGATCATTCAGTCCCAGCCCCCTGTCCTGGACAGGGACACCTCCCACCACACCAGGTTGCTCAAGGCTTCATCCAACCTGGCTGTGAACACTGCCAGGGTTGAGGCAGCCACAGCCTCCCTGGGCAACCTGGGACAGTGTCTCACCACCCTCACAGGAAAAACTTCTGCGTAAGATCAAACCTAAATTTCCCCTCCTTCAATTTTCCCCCATTGTCCCTTGTCCTGTCCCTGCAGCTCTGAACATCCTGATTCATTCCAATTCAAGCATTTGTTGACACTGTTAAACATTTCAGTGACCATGACTCAATGAGGCTGGAAAAGACCTCAAAGCTCACAGAGTCCAACTGTTGAGTACCTGAGTAAAACAACTTTGTAGAGCTCACTGAAGGACATCTCTTTGTTTAATGCAACACCAAGAAACTAGTGAGCAACAAAGCTCAATGCTAGTTCTGATTTATCACTCTACCAGCTTTAGGTGCTGTTTAAAACCCAAAGACACAAACCTTTCTTGAAGTTAGATGTGACTGACCAAAGGAGAATCTCGTAGGATATATCTGTTTGCTTGTCACAAACTCAAAATGAGGAAAAAACCCCAAAGAAAACAACCAAGAAACACATCCAAGATGAACACCAGTGTAACACCTTTCCACCACCCAGGAAGAGATTTCTTTGATGACACTGGTAAGAACCACTCTAAATGTGCTGAGAATAAACTGAAAACACAGTGAGGTTGGAAGGGACCACAATGGTCATCTGGTTCAACCTCCCCACTCCAGCAGGGCCACCCTAGAGCACATGGCTCAGGGTTGTGTCCAGATGGTTCTGGAATATCTCCAGTGAGGGAGAATCCACAACCTCTCTGGGCAACCTGTTCAGTGCTTAGTGACTGCTCAGCAAAGAAGTTCTTCCTCGTGTTCAGGTGGAACTTCCTGGGCATCAGTTTTTGCTGTTACTTCTTGTTTTCTTGATTTCCCTCACTGAGCAGAGTCTGATCATCCTCTTGGCACTTCCCATTCATGGACTTGAATCCATTCATGAGGTCCCTCTCAGTCATCCCACACATACACCACATTTAATCAAAACAGAACTTTTTATCACGAAGCATTTAACCTCTTAACTACCTTTCTTTGATGACCACAGGTTTTTAAGAACTAATTGACCATTTCATCTCACCTGGCTGAAAATCTTGTGCCATTTGATGCAGAACCTGATGAAGATGTGACATAGACACTGCTGATAGATCCCTGAGCCATTTCTGGAAAAGGAGCAACAAGCAGTTTAAGAAAACTTCCAAACACACTCAGCTATTTCAGACATGCTCATCTAACCCACAGGAAATGCTTAATCCCTTTCAAGTCCAGAAAAGGACAACCCAACCAACACAATGTACTATACCAAAAGTAACACAGAGAGTAGTGCAACAGTAAAATTCAGAACACATAAACATTCCACCACTTATTTTGAAGTGAGCAAGTCAAATGTCTTCAGTTTCTATATCATCAGAGTGAAACAACCAAGCCACGACCACATGTCTGCACTTAACTATCTTCTGCCTTTGTAGGTAAATAAACCACAAACAACATCCTCTTCAAAGAACTACACACCGCAAACACCTAGTTTGGTGGCCTAATGCCCAATATGGCTGTGCAAAGAGCAGCAGTACATTTGGTGTCAGATGCTCTGCCATTTGTTCCCAAAGGTGCACGAAAAAGCACATGGAAGGGAGAACTTGATAGACATCTTCACCACAAAACAGTGGAAATGAACTGAGCTAAGGTGTTTTCATGTTTTTTTCTGAGAGTGCTATATTAAGGGGGAAAACAAAACTCTTCTTGGAGTAACTAACCTGTCACATATGGTTCCAGAGCTTTAGGAACCAAACTCCTTGCAATTTTTAGGTCCTCTGCAGAACAGCTTCCAGATTCCAGCCCACAAGCCATTCCCATTCGTTTTAGTACTTCGATATCATCATGGATTTCAAAAGTATTGTCAAAATTAAACAGATATTCAAACCTGGAGAGGAAAGAAGGTCTCAATTAGCTTGAAGGATGTTCACTACCTAAATGCTACTTTCAGGAACTGCAGCATTACAAGAGTTTCACACACAGTGTAAGTGACACATCAAAGTAGGCAATCCAATTCTTTGAGGTTTGTGCAATTTAAATGTGACTAAAATAGTATTTAAACACAATATATGAACCATTAACAGGTTTAACAGATATAAACAATAAGCATGTTTGATAATTCTTTCTTTAATCCCATTTCTCTGCCTACAGTGCAACTTCTGTTTTCATGTTTTCAAGCCTTTCTAGTAAGCTAACAGTGCAAGGAGAAACCACTGCTGTGTTCAGCTTTTATCTAGCAGATAAAAACCAGAGCTTTTTGAAATGAAAGGAGAGAACAGCAAACCTGAAAGCCATGTCCATTTCCAGTTCTGCTGGCTACATTTCATCATATGGAAGCCAAAGAAAAACACTACTTGGTTAAGTAGCTTGAGGGTTGTTGGGCACAAAGGGACTTGGCAGTGCTGGTGGCACAGCTCAGTGGGAGCCAACAGTGTGCACAGGTGGCCAAGGAGGCCAAGGGCATCTTGGCCTGGCTCCAGCAGAGTGTGGCAGCAGGACTAGGGCAGTGCTCATCCCCCTGCACTGGGCACTGGGGAGGTCCCAGCTCAGTGCTGTGCTCAGCTTTGGGCACTCACTGCCCAAAGGCCATTGAGGCACTGGAGCGAGTCCAGCCAAGGGCAACGAGGGCAGCAAAGGGCTGGAAAACCTGTGGGATGAGGAAGGGCTGAGGGAGTTGGGTTTGTTCAGCCTGGAGAAGAGGCTCAGGGGTGACCTCCTGGCTCTCTGCAACTCCCTGCCAGGGTTGGAGAGAGGTGGGGGCTGTGTGTCCTGCCATGGCTGCAGGGAGAGGACTAGAGGGAATGGCCTTGAGCTGAGCCAGGGCAGAGTCAGATTGGATGTGAGGAGAAATGTTTTCCCTGTTGTGGTGTTGAGGCACTGGGATATTGCCCAGGGAGGTGGTGGAGTCACCATCCCTGGAGGTGCTGAAGAGGCATCTGGATCTGACACTGGAGGGTCTGGTTTAGGATTTAGGTGTTCCAGCAGTGACAGGTTAATGGTTGGACTGGATGTTCTTAGAGGTCTCCTTGAGCCTTGACGGTTCTATGATTTTAGGCATGACACAGAACTTCCAAGAAAGCTGCCTGACATGGCTTCTAATATCTCTAGGCATGAAGTCTTAAATCAGTTACTAAACGTGAACCAATTATTCCATTTTTAAAAAATCTACACAAAATACCTGTCTGACCTAAATGTACTCAACCAACAAAAGGCTTGAGTCAATTAACCTCTACTTAACAAATCTACACGAACACTTGCATGAACTCATATCTGCACCACAACCAGGCAGAAAACTTAGTGAACTTACTTGTCATTTGAAATACTGCAGTCAATCACTGTCTTCTTGCTGGTGTTCACAATGATGAATGGCAAGTGGATGACGGAGTTGGAAGGGGGTGGTCGATTTGCCTGCTGCTCTGCCTGGCGGTTTCGCTGCACGAGGTTCTTAAAGGCAATTTGCTAGAAAACACAACAGGGATAGGAAAGGATGAATTCAACTTTGAACAACATGTGAACCAAAAAAATCCCTGAGATAAAGGACTCCAGTGATGGTTGCTGCAAGTAAATGCAGAAAAGGATGGAGTGATGAGAAGCATTGCCAGCAGGTCAGGGAGGTGATCCTGCCTCTCTCCTCAGCCCTCATGAGGTCACCCCTGGAGGATTGTGTCCAGTTCTGGGCTCCTCAGGACCAGAGGGACATGGAGCTCCTGGAGCAGGTCCAGGGGAGGGCAAGGAAGATGCTGAAGGGACTGGAGCACCTCAGTGATGAGGAAAGGCTGAGGGACTTGGGGCTGTTCAGTCTCCAGAAGAGACAACTGGGAGGGACCTCATTCATGGATTCAAATCCATGAGTGGGAAGTGCCAAGAGGATGATCAGACTCTGCTCAGTGGGGGAAACCAAGAAAACAAGAGGGAACAGCAAAACTGATGCCCAGGAAGTTCCACCTGAAATGAGGAAGAACTTCTTCCCTGTGCAGTCACTGAACACTGAACAGATTTCTCAGAGAGGTCGTGGATTCTCCCTCACTGGAGATATTCCAGACCCATCTGGACACAACCCTGAGCCATGTGCTCTAGGGTGGCCCTGCTGGAGTAGGGAGGTGGGACCAGATGACCAACTGTTGGTCCCTTCCAACCTCACTGATTCTGTGAGAGTTTTTACCATATTCCTGCATGTTAACACGCAAGAAGAGACAGAAATGATAGTGTTGAAATATACAACACTGTAAAACTTGACTGAGAAAAAACATGCACATTCTAGTAACTCCATCAGGACAGTTCCTTGGGCAGATCCTTGACAGAAGCCTTTTCCCTGTGAGGGTGTTGAGGCACTGGGATATTGCCCAGGGAGGTGGTGGAGTCACCATCCCTGGAGGTGTTGAAGAGGTGTCTGGATGTGACACTGGAGGATCTGGTTTAGGGTTTAGGGGTTCCAGCAGTGACAGGTTAGTGATTTGACTTGATGATCTTAGAGGTCTCCTCCAACCTTGATGATTCTATGAAATACAGCTCCTATCAGCAGAAATTCTATCTAACCATACTTTAAACTCCCAATGAACTCCTCATAACCCACAGAAGCTTCCCCAACAGCAGTGGCCAACAGCATGGTCCCAGCTAAACTACAGTGCTAAATTCAAGCTGCACACATCTTATTCTGAAATTTACCTCTACTCTTCCTAGAAGTTTCCCATCCCTCACTGGGATAATACAACACGAATAGAGATATAAGTTACCTTGCCCTATAGACAAGAGTACCTTGACTGTACCTGTAGAATGAGTTCTTGTAGTTGAGACTGTTTTTGTTTTATTCTTTCAAGTCTTCTCTGTTTCTCCACCTTAAGACAGAAAAAAAAAAAAGGACTGGTTAGTTTGTTGGTTTTAAGTAGCAATTTATACCAGCATTTTCTTCCCTTACAATGATTTCAATCCTGGAGAACTGGAGGTAGGAAATATGATATTCATCATTAAGGTTTGACAGATATTTAATTATCAAGAGTCTCATCAGTACTACTGGTGAACACTGTAACCAAAAGCACAACTAGAACACTGGGGAATAAAGTACAACAGGCTGGAAAGATCAAAATCTTTGCAAACAGAAGTTATGTCTCAAAGAATTACTGGAATTCTCTCAAGGAGGCAAAGATAGACCAGAAGGATCCACTTGATGTAGACTACTGATATTGGAGGTATTGGAGAAGATCCATCAAAGATGCTTAAAGAAATGAAACTGCTAAGGAGCCCAAGGTAAGTCCTCACAGTATTACATACACACTAAGAGTGGAAGAAGCTCACTAGCAGTTTCCCCCAAGGATTTAATTTACAGACTGTTATTCAAACCACAGACAAACAGATTAAGGTGACAAGGTGACAGAATCTGCTGACAGTTCTGGGTTACCTGGCGTGGTAAAAAGAGAGTCTGTCATAAAAGCACATTTGAAATGTCTTGTAGCACTGAGAGATTACATCCTCTTAATTATGCCTTGTAAATGTACTGTGGTATGTGTGAGAAACCAATCTTATCCAGGCACACTTCAGAAATAAAATGGCATTCAGCAAAGATCTTCAATTACAGTATGTGCAAAATCATCAGCTCAGTATACCAAGGCACCCAAAACTTTGTACTATTAGACAACAAAGAGAGAGCAAAACAGAAATTATCACTACATAATGGGAAATGGGTTCAAACTGAAGGAGGGGAAGTTTAGGTTAGATCTTAGGCAGAGGTTTTCCCTGTGAGGGTGGTGAGACACTGGCACAGGTTGCCCAGGGAGGCTGTGGCTGCCCCAACCCTGGCAGTGTTCACAGCCAGGTTGGATGAAGCCTTGAGCAACCTGGTGTGGTGGGAGGTGTCCCTGCCCAGGGCAGGGGTTGGGACTGGATGATCTCTCAGGTCCATTCCAACCCCCAAAATTCTATGATTAGTCTATAGAGCAAAATGTTCATGTCTTGAACTGTCTAAGTCTGATGTTCCTATTGCAAGAAGCACAATCAGGATCATCACTGGAACAGAACAGATTCCATACAGAAGAATAATGAGTTAGGCCTCTACAGAAAGGAGAATGAAATAATGGGGGAGAACATGAGAGATCCCTGTAAAACCATAAATAGGACAGAGAAAGTAAGTAAGGGCTGACCCCAATGAAACTGGGGAAATTTAGGCTAGAGGTTAGGAAGAAATTCTTTACTGTGAGGGTGGTGAGACACTGGCCCAGGTTGCCCAGGGAGGCTGTGGCTGCCCCAACCCTGGCAGTGTTCACAGCCAGGTTGGATGAAGCCTTGAGCAACCTGGTGTGGTGGGAGGTGTCCCTGCCCAGGGCAGGGGGCTGGGACTGGATGATCTCTAAGGCCCATTCCAACCCCTAAAATTCTATCATTCTATGACATCCTCCCTTCAGGTACTGCCAGACATTGATGAGGTCCCTCTCAGTCATCTCTTCTCAAGACTGAACAGGCCCAAAACTCCCTCAGTCTTTCCTCATCAGTGAGGTACTCCAGTCCCTTCCACTCAGAACTTCACATCACCTGCAAAAGCTGTGACAAAGCTGTATTCTTGCCACAGAAGAATGAAAAAACCCCACAATTAAACAATCTGGAAGTTGAAGAGTGTTCAGTATACCCAAATAAAAGAGAGGAAAAAAGGACTATTCTACATCACACATATCATAATGCACATATTGTATCAGAACATAATAAAGCTGCAAACATCTACTGCAACATCAAACCACTGTGAACTTCCTCATGCATATACCTCTAAATTCTGACATTCCTGAGCCGAGTTAGTAGGTAGACCAATCCATTTGATTTCCTTCTTCTCCTTAGAGATAATGTTCATGGCCATAAGGACATTTAAGGCATCATAGACACGTCGTCTAATATTCTTCTGGTCATAAGCCTGCTGTAGACATAGTGCATTAGTCAAAAACACACCTGTGCCAGGGACATTTGAAAGCAAATAAAGGACAGCAAACAGGTAAACTGAGTTCATATCTACTGAATTTTGCAGGAGAAAAACCCCCACCAAGATCTCAAAAAGCAATTTCCCCTCCACTCAGTTCATGTGGCAATGACCTCCCATGTACTTACTGATTCATTTGGTGAAATGTGATTATCAGTGGTACTGAACTCTGCAACCAACTCATCTGCCACCTCGTTGTATGAGGTGGTTCCTTTTCTTTGTACCTTCTCACAAACTTTCATCGAGAAATGACGTAAACCTTTGCCATTCTTCTCTCCTTTCTTGTTCCGCTTCCTAAATATAGATATAATATATATTTTAAGAAAATTTGAACTTTGGAATATTTCATGTCTCTTTTTTTTTTTCAATAACAGGCACACTGCTGTGAAAAAACAAACCAAGCCTTTCCCTTCTGTTCTGCTCCTCACCCCTTCCCAACATTCTCTTCTACATTTCTCCCCCTTCAACTTTTAAATATTTAACAGTTCTAATATCTTGATGCTGAAACACAACACAAATTGATTCTTTTGGCAACTCTGCTAGCTTCAGGAGAATCACAGAATGGGTTGGAAAGGACCTTTAGAGGCCATTTAGTCCAACTCTCCCTGCAATGAGCAGGGGTACCTTCAACTCAACCAGGTTGCTCAAAGCCAAATCCAACCTGGCCTTGAATGCTTCCAATAGCAGCTAATAAGTTATCAATAGGGATATTCCTTGCAGGAGTCAATTAAAAAAAAAACCTTCCAAACTTCAAGGCAGGAAGAGATAAGGGAATAAAGGCTAAAATATGGAAACTGAATTATAGGAGAGAATTTTTTTGTTGACTGACTGAACAAAGTCTGGCCCTGATTGAACTTACTAGACACCACAACATTACTAAAACACAGGTTTGAAGCTACACAGTCTATGAAGCTGCTATGGAAATGTCAAAGTTACAAGATCCAAACAGCCTAACAAAGTTTTTTTCAATAAAAAGTTCCTTGGAACTAGAGGAAAAACACAAGTCTCTACAAAATCAGCATCAGCAAAGGAGCATCTCAACTATCTACATCTCACTGTCTTCCTCACACTGCTAGCCCAGAGAGTACATTACAAACACCCAGAACAAAACTGCCAACAATTTATTACTCCTTTGTAACTCTTAGTTTGCTCACCCAGCAGACCAAGGGGAAGAATCTCCAGTCTGGTTCTGTGATACAAAATGTGTGTTAGGTGTATGTGGACTTCCCACCAGGATAGTGTTTGGTGCTGAAGGTCTCTGAGGTGTACCAATAACCTGCAGAGAGGACAAGACAAGGTGGAAAATAGTTAAGTATCCTAAGTTCCACAATTCAAACGCTGCATTATCCAAACACTAATGCTTTTTTTCCCCCTACATCTTTCTATTAAGTGCATCAAATTTGTACACACTAGCAGAAAACCCTTCAGACTACAGATTGTATTGTTAGAGCAGCCCCTAAGTAACCATGGAATCACAGAATTTTAGGGGCTGGAATGGAGCTTAGAGATCATCCAGCCCCAACCCCCTGCCCTGGGCAGGGACACCTCCCACCAGAGCAGGTTACTCAAGGCTTCATCCACCCTGGCTTAAACTGCTCTTAAAAAGGACTTAATAAGCATTTATATTTTATCCTTCTTAAATGAGCTTTTCCCGTTTCTTGGATTTCTTAACACTGTTCAACACTAACTTGGACAGGGTCAAAACACATATACACACTGTTACTCCAAGGAAAATGGGGAGAATAAAGGGGGGGGAAAACCCAACTATACCAGACTATGTATAAAGAAGCTGCAGTAGATTACAGTTCAGACTGAGAATCAGATTGGATGTGAGGAGAAATGTTTTCCCTATGAGGGTGTTCAGGCACTGGGATATTGCCCAGGGAGGTGGTGGAGTCACCCTCTCCGGAGGTGTTGAAGAGGCATCTGGATGTGGCACTGGAGGAGCTGGTTTAGGGTTTAGGTGTTCCAGCAGTGACAGGTTAATGGTTGGACTGGATGATCTTAGAGGTCTCCTCCAACCTTGATGGTTCTATGGTTCTAAGTGATCCTCTCTGTGCCATTATGGCCAATGATCCATAACTGAAACATTCGTCTCCGACTGCTGATTACTGATTTTCAATGAACTTATGGCCAATGATCCATAATTGAAACATTCTTCTTCGACTGCTGATTACTGATTTTCAATGAAAAACATGCCAAACTCCTCTGCATTTATTTGCCTGGAAATTTGGAAGGAGTCCCTGATTTTAAATGGCAAGACCAGTGAAAGATCATAGAATCATAGAACCAATTGAAAAGACCTCCAAGATCATCGAGTCCAACCCTACCATGGTTACTAGACCATGGCACTAAGTGCCACATCCAGTCTCGTCTTTAAAACCTCCAGGGATGGTGAATCCAACACCTCCCTGGGCAGCACATTCCAATACCATACAAAGAGTCAAGTATCTGCAAGTTCATTTGAGAGTCATCTTTGAGTTTACACAGAAGAATATTTGTTTTAACATAAGTCCAAAAAAATTAGAAACAAGCTTAGTGTATCTGCCCATGACAAGTGATGCCAAGTACCAAACTATGCCAGATTTACAGTATTTGGAAGCCAAAGTATAAATAAGGATTTAAACAGATAAATAAAAATGAAAAAACAAAAAAACAACCACAAAATCTCCTTACCACTTGTTGTGCAATGTTGACATTAGACTGTCCAAATGTTTTTGGCAGGAGCTGTTTTCCAATTGTATTTACTGTAGAGGGATGAACAGCCAACAGAGAAACAACCCCTGAAACAAACACAAGTAAGAGAAGCTTCAGGTCAGTCACAGAGGATTATTTTAGCAATTCCAGACTCTTCTACACTACCAAACTAGCCCTGAACCCTGCAGAGTCTCAGTATCAGTGCAGCATTTACACACTTGAAGCAAAGCAAAGAAATCAAGATTCAGAGTATGTTCTCTCAAACTTCCTGTAACCTGTCAGTGATCTAGTGTAAACATGTTTGAAGACCTTGTATTCTCATTCTTCTCTCAAGGCAGAATAATAGAGGCATCTGACCAAAAGCACAATCCTCTGCTCTCCTACCCTTATCCTTTGTGGCTACTGAAACCTCTTCCTGAACCACCTGACAAACGTGCCCCAGGCCCTAGCATGTTGAATCCCTCTCTAAGCCATGCTGATCCACAGAAGATAAAATCTCCTAGAACAGGCCTTTCCAAGAGAATATTCCCAACTTTCATCGGAGTGTCCCCTTCCAGCTGAAGGCAGGGGATTAAAGAACAAACATCTTCAAGGTAAACACACACAACACAGCAGACCAGCTCTGCTGGGAGGGTTGTTCTCTTCCTCTTCATAACCCATACACAATCAGCATTGGCAGGCAAAGCAAGTCTTAAGTCAGGTGAAAAAAGTCAACCACAAAAATACCAACCCAGGTATCCTCTAGCAATCTGATGCTCCATGACATGGTTTCATTTAGACAGAAAACCCAACCCAACCCAACCAACAAACCCCAACCCACCAATCCCAACCAGCAATGAAACAAAGCAAAAAGCAACAAAGACTGACTAGAGGAAGAGAATAATGAGACAAACCAACCTTAAAATACTGGAAACATTTCTTTTGTTGAAACAACTGTCATTTGGTTGTCAGGTTTTCCAGTCATTTCCCTCAGATCACTTTTAAAGGAACAAATAGGGCCAGGATTTGGTAGAATTCCCGTTCCTCTTCCTTTTCCCCATTACCCAGGACAGAAGCAGTAAGCAAGCATTTTTACAAGGGCTGTATCAGAAGTGCCCAAACTACTCCTTGATGTCTACCACCCTTCTTCACACATTCAGGAAGCCCACAGGAAGCTGAGGACAATTCAAGTCTGGTTGAAGCCCTTGCCCTCCAACAAAAGGCTTGTATTTCTCAGCTGCTGTGCCAAACTGAGCTTCTCAGTCATAGAATCAAAGAATTTTAGGGGTTGGAAGGGAGCTTACAGATCAACCAGCCCCAACACCCTGCCCTGGGCAGGGACAGCTCCCTCCACACCAGGTTGCTCAAGGCTCATCCAACCTGGCTGTGAAC